CTTATTTCACTCAGCATAACACCCTCCAGTTCCATCCACGTCGTTGCAAATGGCAAGATCTCATTCCTTTTGATGTCTGCATAATATTCCATTGTATATATACCACATCTTCTTTATGCATTCATCTGTCAATGGACATCTTGGCTCTTTCCACAGGGCCCAAACTTACTCTTGCCTCCTGAGAGTGCTCCATGTGGCGGACTCTTCTCTACTCAGCACTTACTGAGCACCCGCTGTGTTCAGGCTCTGCTCTGTGTGCTGGGGAAGCAGCAGGGAACAAAGCCGACAAGGGCTCCTGTCTCATGAAGCTTACATTCCCTTCCCTTCCTGTGCACTCAGGGCAGGGAGGTGGGACAATGTCTCGTTTCTCTCAGCTTCAGAAGAATCACAGTGAGAAGAGGCACAGGCTCACTGTTTACTCTGAGAGCCGGGTTGGAGCAGATGCAAGAGGTTGGGCAGTTGTTGTGGGTCTGTCCAGAAAAGCTTCATGCAAATCCAGGACTGACTCACAGAATAGTGACTGAATCTCCGCACAGTCTATGGACAGAGGCATGGAGGTGGCTGTATCCTGATTGTGCACGTGTTACAGAAGTTCCCAGGGGTACTTCCCATGCCTGGGCACCAGCACTAGTACGTGGCTCCACCACCAGGCAGATCTGTGCTTCCTAGGAGAACACTCCTTCCTCTTCCCCAAGCTGCCCACACGGCCAATGCTGCCGTGGTTGAGAATGGATGGAGTCAGAAGGGACTATCTCAGCCCCTTTTACAGATGAGGACACTGAGGCTCAGCAGAGATGGCCTGAGCAGGGAAGGGAACCACAGCCTGTCTCACAGCCCTGCTCTCTGCACGCTCACTGTGCTGGCCAAAGTGGGAGAACGTTCCAACCCTGTCCTTGAAACTCTTGTAAATCTTGCATTGTTCTCTTTTTCAAGAGTAAGCACTAAGAAAACTCACAGGGAGAGGTGAGCTAGCTTTGCACCCCCAGATCAGACAAATATGCAAACATCTTGTAAAGTGTTGAGCCTATTCGTGGAGGGCATGGCTCCTCACGTGTAAGAGCATCAGGAGTCTTTCCCTGTTGCATGGTGTTGCTCCTTCACTGAGCAACCTGGGGCAGGAACCTGGACAGAACATAGGGCCCCCACAATTACAGCAACACTGGGCACCCCATTCCTGGCTCTGCAGACTGAGGATAACTGGGAGGCACATCCTGGAGGGTGTTTTGGGTCCCCTGAGCAAGAGTGCATATTCTAGACTCAGCCGTCGGGACCCCACATCTTCCCTCTGTTGTAACAGAGTTAGCAGGTCTGGGCACCCCGAGTGACCCCTCCCCATAAGTGCTTGCAGTGAAGGTTCTCAGAATGAATAAGAGGGTGGCCGACACTGTCAGGCTGGAGAAGGTGAGACTCTTGCTCTGTTGTGGATGAAAATAGTTAGAAGCCACAGGAAGTCCCCTGGGAGGCAGTGAGGATTGAGGAGCAGCCCCTTTGTAACTGGACCAAAGTGGGTTGGCTCCTTGGTGAGGTAGAGACAGAGACTACCCAAGGGGAGCGCTGGTACCCACAAAGTTGTCTTTATTTGTACAGGTAAGGGATCACAGGGAATAATTTCCAAAGCCCTGATGCTAAACCGGGGCAAGCAGGCTCTATTGGTTAGGGTTGAGATGAATATTCCGAGGGGGATTTTAACAGTATAATGAGGCTGAGGTTACTGTCAGCCATTTTGTGATTCATCTGCTCCTTTCCACCTGCATTTCAGTGATAAATTATAAGCAAAACTGCTTGCGTTCCCTTACTTGCCCCTCCCTGCAACCCCGGGAAAGAGAAAGGCATGCTGTCCCATGTCACAGAGGAAGAGCCACGCAGTGCCACGGCCACCCCTCCCGTGGGCTGGCCAGCCTGGTCCCGGCTTCCATGGGGGTCCCGCCCAACCCCCGCTTCCCCTGCACAGACTGCTCCACAGGCTCTCTGAGCTCAGTGAGGTTTGCAGGGAGGCGGCTAGGATGGTTGATACAAAGAGTGAGACCCACTAGAAATGTCGTTCTTGTGCCCAGATCGGTGGGAAGTCACAGAGACGAGAAGGGGGACTTGAACTCAGGCCTGGAACTGCACCTGGGCCCTGCTTCCCGACTCAGAGTTCAGCTCTGGAGCCTCGAGTCCTCTGTGGGATGAGGAGATGACACGGCCCTCCCCACATGATCAGAAGAGCGGAGGGTTCTCCACAGTGTCACACACGTATCCTTAGTGCTGATGACCACAGTCATGCTTACTGTTCATAAATGCTCCTCTTGTAGCCAAACCCTCTCCCCCCGTGGTGTCGGGTCCCACAGCCAGGGCCTCGCCTGAGCAGACCGTCAACTTCACCTGCAAGTCCCATGGCTTCTCCCCCAGAAGCATCACCCTGAGATGGTTCAAAAACGGGAATGAGCTGGCAGCCTCCCAGACCACCGTGGACCCGGAGGGAAACAGCACTTCTTACAGCATCTCCAGCACAACCAGGCTGGTGCTGGCCCCGGGGGACGTTCACTCCCAGGTCATCTGCGAGGTGACCCACGTGACCCTGCAGGGGGGCCCTCCTCTTCGTGGGACTGCCAACTTGTCTGAGGTCCTCCGAGGTATATGCCCCTCACCCCCAGCCCAAGCCCGGGGCTGGCCCCCAAGTCTTTGAGCCTGTCTCACCCCCCATTCTCCGCCCCAGGTGGTCCATTGCCTGGAATCTGACTCCTGACAGACCCTGACAGTCACCCTGCACCTAGATGTATGGTCCCCTCCTATGGTTTTTCATGGCAGCTGGGGGGTGAACATCTATCATGTGCCAAGCACTGTGCTGGGCAGTTCATTTACTCTACCAAAGCAATTCCAATTATTGAGCACCTGCTGTAATCCTCGCCACTGTGTGCTTGGTGATGTCATTTATTTTGCTAATTATTCTATTCTGGCTGCATGCCACGGGCTGAGTATCTTGATTTCACTCATTCTTACCCTAGTAGGAGCTACCAGTCCTTGAGCACCTACTTGTGCTGGGCACAGTGCTTAAGGATTTCATTCATATGCGAAGACTACCCTCAGTGTTTGAGCACCAGCTGCATGCCTAGCCCATTCTGGGTGATTCCCTTGCTGTGTGGGGGGAGCTGAGTTCTCGAGCCCCTCCCCCGTGGTCGGTCTGTTCCATGAGGTCAGAGCTTCTGCTCTGTGCTCTTTCAGTTCCGCCCACCTTGGAGGTTTTCCAGGAACCCGTGGCAGGGGACCAGGTGAAGGTCACTTGCCAAGTGAAGAAGTTCTACCCCCAGCGCCTACAGCTGACCTGGTTGGAGAACGGAAACCTGTCCCAAACAGAAACGGCCTCGACGGCCTCGAACCTCACAGAGAACAAGGATGGGACGTTTAACTGGACGAGCTGGCTCCCGGTGAACTCATCCGCCCACAGGGAAGATGTGGTGTTCACCTGCCAGGTGCAGCATGACGGGCAGCCTGCGGTCACCAAAAACCATACCCTTGTGGCCTCTGCCCACCAGAAGGACCAGGGTGAGACCTCAGTGATCCTGTTCCTAGCATCCTGCCCCTGCTCCCTCGCCTGACAGTGATTTAGTCATCATGCCAGGCCGGCCACCCCCTCCTCCTGTTCTTCTCATCTGGGCCTGGTCTCTATCTCTTCTAGACCTTTCCATCATCACCCCAGCAAATGTCTGTACCTGCCACTCTGAAATTCTGAAAGGCACCCTGAGGACCTGGAGTTTTGAGTCTTAACCAGGCTCCCGGGTGACTGTGTGTAGTCACACCTGGGGTCTCCTTTCTCCCCTTATTTGTGATAGCAAACCAACAATATTCATGATCGCACACAGCACATTTACTTTATGCCAATTCCAGTTCATTGCTGGTTTCCTTTCCTGCTTAACCCACCCTGTGACCTGGAATTTTACAGAAGGGACTCGGGAGCAATGAGGGACAGATGGTGAAGATTTTCTGCCCTTAGGCCAGCTGATAGTCCAGGGAAACCTGAGTCCCTGAAGATGGACCAGCAACCTGTATATAAAAAAAAAATGTGTTAATTATAGCAGCAGGGCATTGTCCCAAAAAACTACACAGTCCTCTTTCTACAACCAAAACATTCCTTATTTTTCTCTCATGGAACATCAGAGGAGGTTGAGCCAGGTTTCCAGGAGTCTTAGCTCCAGATCTTTCAAAGGCCCATGTTCCCTCTAACATGCCCTATGACCCTGTCCTCATGGCTGGGTCAACACTGGGTCACCAAGTGTTCATATCCCTGCTGGCTGGGACAATAGAGATGGGAAGAGGAAAATGAACGATTTCTCTTAAAACTAGAGGTATGTAGAAGTTGCTTAATTAGTCATGGATGCACATCCAGTTGCAAATGGAGTCCACAATTCTGTGGTCATGTGATTAATGACATTATTTTTTCTATAAAACCAATACTATTACACTTTTAGTAAAATTAATAATTCCTGATATCATCTAAAATGGATTATATATTCTGATTTTTCAAAGCTTCTTCTATTAACTTTATTTTGTGGACCTAACTTGGTTTTAATTCACTTGTAAATGCTTGAAAGACTTTTCCTGTGAAACACCTGGGTCTCCACCATTCTTTTTTTGATTTGAAAAGAAACTGAATAACTAGGGCTACTCAAATTCCTCATTTCATATTGGATGCTTGTGGTAGGCTGTGCTTTTGAGAAATCTGGTCCTTTTTCTCTGAGTTGTCAAATTTCTGCACATAGAGCTGCTCATAATATTACTTGGTTATCTTTGTGATGTCTGTAGGGTTTTCAGTGATATCGCATTTTATTCCTGATATTGGAATTGTGTCAGTTCTCATTTTTTTCATTGTCACAGCTGCTAGAAGTATTCCAAATTTAGTAGTGCTTTCCAAAAACCCATGTCTGTTTCAGTGGTTTTCTCTATTGTTTGTTTTTAATTCCTTTGCTTTTTCTGTTTTTTATTTCTTTCTGCTTGCTTTGAGTTTATTTTGCTCCTCCTCACTTTTTGAAATGGGAATCTAGACTTTTCTTTGTTCGAATGCCAGAGCTAGGCTTCCTTCTGTGTTTGGGGAGTCAGGAGTGTGGAGTCAGGACACATAGTGTGTATTCTTCCTCCAGTATGGAAGGATCTAGCCCACCTGCCTTCCTCTTCCACCTTTCAGATTCCTCCATGCTTGGACCTCATGTGATTTCCAGGGGTGGGCTTGTACTGAGCCAGGAGAGCAGGGAGAGATGAGTCCACACATTCTCCTATGGACCAGTTTGGGTTTGGTGTTTAGTCTTTGGTCTTTCACTTGGACTCAGACCATAGGCATTACTGCTCGTGCTTCCAGTGTTCATGAACTAGCCAATCTTCCCGTGTGTTAAGGCTGAGAATAGATTTTAAGGTTCTCTGGGTTGGCAGCTGGAGCTATGTGCAGGATGCCTATGTGATCCTGCTGTGCCAGGATGTACCAGCCTCCCCTGGGCGTCCCAGGGCTCCAACCACTGCCATCCCTTCTGGATCCAATGGGTCCGATATAAAGAAGTACATCTTTTTCTTCATGTTTATGGTATTGAGGTGTTTCACAATACTTCTAGCTTAAAAGAGCTCCCTTCTCTCAGTATAGCATGACCACGTATGTTACTGGGACTTGGCATTGGTTGTCTGGTTTGTATACTGGGAGGGATGTTGTGAGTCCTCTGATCTTCTGATTCTTCTTTCAGGACCCCAAGTTTGCCTCCTCCATTTTTCCTTCTCCCCTTCACCACTCAACTTTGAAACAGCACCTGTTCCTTCTTTTTTACTTTCACCCCTGAAGTCATGCATTCTAAATCGTGCCTGTCCCTTTTATTCACACCTATCCTTTTAAAATTTCCCTGCCTCCTTGGATTAGGTTCCTCTTGCTACTGTAATAATTAGGACACGCTTAGTGGCTTAAAGCAACACACGTTCATTCCATTCATTTCTAGACAGGAAAGTCGAAACTGGGGTGGTAGGTCCGAGTTCCTTCTAGGGACTCTGGGGGAGAGTGTGTGTCCTTGCTGCTCCAGCTCCTAGACGCAGCCCCACCCGTTGGCCAAGGGCCCCACACCCTCTGACCTCTGCTGTGATCATCATGCCTCCAGCTCCCACTGTCCTGCCTCCCGCCTTCCCTGGGAATGGGTCTCTGAGATTAAACTGGCTCCACTCAGATAGTCCAGGATAATGACCCACTCTAGACCCTAGCTAATTACCATTCAGGCTCTCCTGCCATGTAAGGTACCCCATATTCACAGACTCTGGAGGTCTTGGGCCAATTCACTTAAGTCAGGCATACCTTGAAACCCCTTCCTATGATCTGTGTCCTGATGTTCAGGACACATTTCCAAATTTTATAAATTAAGCTTGATTTAATATGGGCAGTGGGATTTCTAAGTAATTCTCGGGCTCCTTGGCTTCCTGCCCTTGCCTTTTTCTCCTGCCCTTTCCTATGGTTGGTGAAGGTGGGAGGGGAATGGCGTAAGGGATGTGCATTTGGATTTGGAGATTATTATCCTTGGTCTCCCAGAGATTTTGCGGTTTGGGCATTGCTCTTTAAGGTCTACTGAGAGCCAGTTTTCCATAGAATTGACTGTCTTTTTATTGTTTCTCCTTTGGGTTGAGAGGCCGTATTTGGAGATAAGTAGCAAAGCTCTCTGTTGTCCTCAGCAGCCCATTAGTGCCCAGAGGGTTTTGAAAGCCTCGGCCCCAATGTCCCTATCCTACATCTCAGAATCTATCTCCCATATTTCCCCATCAGGGTTCTATTCTGGTAGAGCAGGTGCAGTGTAGCTGAGAATTCAATCCTCTCTGTAGCACTGATACTTCATGATTTTTTTGGACCCAACTGTGTCCTCGGCTTTTTCTGCCCTCCCGTCTAGGAGGTAACAGTCTGCACTATTGCCCAGAAGTCCTCTGACTTTCATACATAACCTTTCATGTGTGCTCAGTCAGTCTTCACTTTGCATTGTCTTTCTCCGAAGGATTAATGCCCAGCAACAGCCACCCAACCCATAGTTCTTATACTTACCAACTCATTTCCAGAATGCCAGGGAACGTCCCTCCTCTGCTTACATCTTTGCAGGTCACCATGGTGAGGTTTCAGCAGTGACAAGAGCAGGGCAAGCTGGCACCTACCCTACTCTACCTCCTCCCAGGGCTGGGGGCCTCTTGGCCAGCCAACTGACAAAGTCCCTGCTCCAAACGTGCCCATTAGAGCTGGCTTTCCGGACCCCACCCAGACAAACTCCACACATCAGGTGACTCGGGAAGCAGACTCTCAGATGATACGAGAAGGGGGAAAGCTCACTCTGGGGCACTGTGTGATCCACATGTGTGAGAGGGGGAAGGAGGCAGAACTGGTAAAGCAAGATGTTGAATACAATGCAGCCCAGCAAGACTCAACCTCGGCACAGAGAGCTGGGGAGCCGATGCTCTTCATGAGTTGTTTTAAATGGAGAAGATTGGCTAAGCCTCTGTACCCCCACTTCTTCCAGCCCTCTACTGTAACTTGCCCTCTAGAAGCAGGTGCAAATGTGGGCAATACAGCTCTTTGAACTGAGAGAATGTCTGGGCGGGGGCCCACCCAGTTGAGACTTGCCATCCTCCAGAATGCCAGGGGCAAATATGGTGAGGGCTCTGTCCTTCCTTTAAGATTACTCTGTATATTTCAAATTTTATTTGAATTTCTTAATTCAAATATAAAAGCAAAAATGGGTCATTGCAGAAAGTCAAAGGATCTGAAGGTGTATTTACAGATCCAACCTCTATATCGAACAAATGATGTCAGCTGATATTGGCCCTGGAGTCCAGGTGGGCTGGATGGTGTTTGAAACCCTCCTGAGCATTAGACCCCATTTCCTTGTCTCCCCAGGGTGTTGTCCAGCCAGCAGGTCTCCTGAGGTCAGGTCATCCTGAAGCCTCCCTCCTCACCTCTGTACATGGAATCTTTAAGCCCTGTGCATGGAGCAAAGCAGGGTAGCCTTGCCCCTCACTGACCATGACACCTGTTCTCACTCCACCTGAGGCCAGACTGACATTTGTCCCTATGACCCACAGAGTTTGGATTTGTCTTGGTCCAAAGACAAGGTCTCAGAGTCATCCTGCAGGACAGCAGTGAGGGATTTCCCTAGGTCTCAACCACCTCATCTTTTGACCCTCTGTAAACTATGAGCCTGTTCCCTCATCAGAAAGAGGGTATATACCTGCCCCATGGGTGTGAGGACCAATTCAGTAAACCAAACTTACACGTTACTGAGTGCTCATCCTCCCCCACCTCTTCCCTCAAGGACCCTAGCAGTAAGAAAGGGGTGAGTGAGATGAGGAACTTCTTACCCCAAACCTGCCTCGAGCCTGAGTGCAGGGGAGGAGATTCATGAGCGTCAGAGCTTTGATAAGCTTGAGTTGCTTCAGAGAGAGTACGTGGAGGCCCCAGGGAACGGACTCCTGGGTGCCAATCTCATGGTGCATGTGTCCATTCTTTTCCAGACCCAAGGCTATCTACTCCACTCCTGCTGGCTCTCACCCTGGGCCCAAAACTGCTGCTGCTCATCACTATCTCTGTCATCTATGCCCACAAGAAGCAAGGGCCTGACTGTAAGTTGTGGGTCAGGGAGGACAGGCCAAGGTCAGTCCCAGAGGGAGCAAGGTCAGGAAAAGGGCAGCCCACAGGTCACACAAGGTCAGTGCCCAACTGGAGTAAAGAGCATGTGACACACCTCCCTTGATAACCTCCCTTGATACCCTCAGGAGTCTCAGGGATCCCACCTCCCTGAGGTGTGGGGGGCGGTTAACCTATAAGAGGTGGATGGGGTCAACGACTGTGCACAGAGTCCTAGGGATTCTGGGAAGGAAGTGGGCAGAGGGGCTGAATGAGAGGCAGCTGAGTGGGAGGAACCCTTGGAGACCATCTCTAAGTTATTTGAGTACTGGGCTCCTACAAGCACAAGGAGTCCACGTTTAGGGGCAGGTCATGAGTGCTCCACCTTCATGAGTGGGATTAGCCCTTACAGAAGAGGCCCCCCAGGGCTCCCCACTTTGGCCACATGAGGACACAATGAGAAATCTGTAGAGGGCTCTCTCCCAACCAGGATGGCTCCATGATCTCAGACTCCAGCCTCCACTACTCTGAGCAAGAACTTTCTCTTGTTTCTTTGCCACCCAGGCTGGGATATTTTGTTATAACTGCATGAATGACTAAGACTGATGATAACCGCACATATAAAGTAAATATCTTTGAGCCCATGTTGATATAAGTAAATAAGTGAATAAATTAATAAACTGAGGAGAGGAAAAGAATGTCCTGTACAGAAAAGTTCCAAATGATTTATGTAGATACTTCACCCTCAGAGGGGGAGCCTAACTGTCTACTCCTGGAGTGCAGTCACTTGTGGTGACTACCCTCCAAAGAGGACAGAACGGAAACGAGGTAAAAGGAATAACTACAGAGGGGACACCTGAAAAATACAGTTCAGCCAGGTGATCACGAGTTCACCAATAGTCACAAACCACGGCCACAGTGTGTATCCTGGATTAATGTGATGAAAACAGCACTTTTCCTCTGTGACCTTCCTCCCCAAGCCCATCACCCCAGTCTGCTTATGAGAAAAGCATCCGACAAATTGCAATGAGGGACATTCCACGATATACGTGAGCAGCACTCCTCAAAACTGTCAGGCCATCACCAACAAGGAAAGGCCAAGAAGCTCTCACAGCTGAGAGGAGCCTAAAGAGACATGACAAGAAAATGTAATGTGGTATCCTGCATGGAATTCTGGAACAGAAAGGGACATGGGGTAAAAACTAAGGGTATTTCTTCTGGGCTGAATATTTGTGTCTCTCCAACGTTCATGTGTTGAAATCTAATATCCAGTGGGGTCGGATTTGGAGGTGGGGTCTTAGACAGACAGGTAATGAGGTCATGAGGGTGGCGTCCTCATGAATGGGATCAGTGCTCTCATGAAAAGGGGCCAGATAGCCAGCTCACCCCATCCACCACGTGAGAATGCAAGTAGTTGGCAGTCTGCAACTGCAAGGAGGGATGTCATCACAACCCAACTACCCTGGCACCCTGATCTCAGACTTCCAGCGTCCAGGACTGTGAGAAATAAGTTCCTATTGTTTCAAGGCATCCAGTTTCTGCTGTATTGTTATAGCCGCCCAAGCTAAGACAAAATCAAAATAAACTACGGATTTTGGTTAATAATAATGTACCAATATTGGTTCCCTAATTATAATAGATGCAACAAATTACTGTAAAATGCTATAAAGAGGGGAAACTGTATGCAGCTATAGATTGGATTTCCGTGTGATTGTGGCAATTTTTCTCTAAATGTAAAACTGCTCCAAAAAAGTAACTCTATTAAAAAAAGTGTCAACATCTTGTCCTCAGATGTCTGCCTGCCTCTTGCACCCCCTTGGAGGACAATTTAAGGAAATGTGTGGTGGGGGTTGTCTGTGTTTCTATACCCAAGTTTTATCTTACTTCACAAGTCTAAGTAAGTTTCCTCCTCCTTCCTCAGTCCTCTACTAGAGTTCACTCCAAAGCCAGAGATCCCAGAAGAACCTGCTTCTCAGTCACCCACAATATTCATACTAAATGTTTCCAATTAGTAAAGCCCAGGTTAGACCAAGTGGAGTAAGGGAACTCTGGGCCCTTGGGTGAGGCGGGTTAGCTTTAAGACCTCCGTGGGGGATGCAGTTAATCCATGTCCTGAGCCCAAGGAATTGAGGTGGAAGAGGCTGTGCAGAGGGTGGTGGAGGCTGTGATGCACCAGGCCTGAGGAGATGGCCCTTAACTGTCAGCTCTCTTTGGGATGGTCTCAGCTAAGGAGAGCCACCATGCCCAAGGTCATGCCTGGGACATGGCCACATCCTGTGGCTCATCAACATAGGGATGTAAAGGTCCAGCCTCTCAACCCAGCTCAGGAGAACTCCGAAGGAACGTCCTAGCATCAGAGCTCCACGGGAGATCAGCCGAGGTCTTCACTGGGCCTTCAGTGCAGCTCAACTTCTAAACAATTCCGCTCCCTTCTCCTCCTAGCTACCATTGGATCTTAGAGTATTCCCTGAAAATGACCTGCTTGTTAATATTCATCTCAGTGATTGTTTCCCAGGGAACCTGATGTGGAAGAGAGAAGCTGTGGTAGGTACCAGGAAAGGTGGAGATCCATTTGTTTCTAGGGGCCATGCCAGTCATGGAATGATGGATTGTTTACACTACCACATACCATTTACTGTATATCATATGCCATATACCACATACCAAATACATATCATATACAATATATTGTATACTACCTACCACATACCATGTACCACATACCACATACCATATGCCATACACCAGATACCATATACCAAACAGTCTCACTGTACAAGAGAAATGAGAATCCACAAAACGGTTTATGTAAGAGAGGGGTGTACTCAGATCTGTGTTGTAGAAGACCACCCTTGATGAAGGAGAAGGAAGAGCTTACAACAGGCAAAAGAGTTGAGATAGCCTACTAGGAAGTAATAGTTTTTATTCAGGCAAGAGATGATGATGGAGATGGAGACATAGATTCTAGAGGTTAGTTTAGGAGGTAAAACTAATAGGCGCTGGGGGGGGGACAGACACAAGGGGACGAGTGAGGGTTTAGAATATGGGTCCCTTCTTGGGTTGACCAAATGGGTAGAGGATGTGCAACATACTGAACAGGGTGTAAGGGAAGAAGAGAATGTCCAGACTGCAGACTATGAACTCGGTTTTGAATATTTGAGCTATATAAATGAAAATTTCAAAGTAAAAGTTATACAGTTCAGCCACCAAGAAGTGCATTCAAGATTTGAACCTAGATTGCATCTGTTTGCAAAGCCAGTGCTCTTGACAATCAAGGCACTAAAAATCCCAGGGTCTGAAGAGTTTAGATTGGAATGGAAGGTTTGAAGTCTGCTAGAGGTGCTTTGAAGGGGAGGAGGCTGGAGGTTGGAGGAAAGATCCTGTCCAGCTCTCAGCAGGGGCCATGGGCGGCTTCCCAGCATGGAATTCCTCATTCCAGAACAATGTGATAAGATGGTGACATCACGGGGGGTGGGCAGTCTTGTCATCTCCTATAAGCAGTTTGGGCCCATTCTGCATTCTCCTCTTGTTCTAACACCTCTCCTGGCCTTTACATCCGGTCGATATCTAAGAGGATGTGGAGCTAACAAGGAAGCAATTGCAAAATAGCCCTAACATTCAGGGCCTGAGTATGGACTGGTGGACATTAGAGGGTCACTCGCTGAGTGTGGGCTGAGAGTACTGGACATAACCTTGGTGGTTTGATAGAGCTTATTCCAGAGATGAGAGGAGGAGGCCAACATGCTGGTTCCACTCTCCTTCTGAGAGCATTCCTTCTGTCCCTCTGCTCCTTTCCTCCAGAGCTGGCCCAGACCCAGCACAGACAGCAGAGGCAACCCTCACCTTCCATGTGTGTTGCTTTCCCTCTTGCAGAGTGTTCCCCCAGCTCCACCTTCCTTTTAGCACCCTCCATCCTCTAAATCACAAATCATCACCATCTCCAAAACTCTAACCTCTTTTCCACACCATGTCTCTAGGCCTCTACCTCAGCAAGGGTGCAGGTTGGTGAGACCTCAGATGGGATGAGGCTCAGGAATGAGCAAAAGCTTGTGGATGTCATGCCCTTAACTCTGGAAATCCCCAGCAATTGGAGCAGCAGCTTCTCAGTTTGTGGCCACCTTGCCTGTCCATTTGATAATCTCAAAGAAAAAGTGTCAAAACTCCCATGGTCATTCCTTCATCATAATCCCCTTCCTCTGACATCATGGAGGCAGGGAGTGTCTTCTCTCCTCAAAGCAGAGAGTACTGGGCCTCTCCAGGACAACACTCAGACAGAGAAGGCTCCAGGGGCCACCACAATGCCTGTCCCTGCCTCCCCACTGTGCCCACCTCTGCCATCCCTGCTGCTGACTCTGCTGCTGGGATGTACAGGGGGAGTGGGGCCTCAGGTGTATGTGGTGGGGACACCCCTATGCCTGTTTACTGCATTCTTTCACCTGTTTACCTAGAATTTCTTGGGGGAAGAATTTCTCTGTCCTAGCCAGAATTTATAGAACTAGACTGGAAGGGCTCCCAGCTCACAAAAACTCCCAGTGGCTGCGTCTATTCCACACCCTTTGTTCGGTAATGGACATGCACTAATGGTCACAGAGCTGAGCACAGCGCACAGATCAGAACTCTCATCCCCCAGCCCCTAGGAACAAAGAATCTGTCTTTTCAATTTATTACCGCCACACAAATGCTACCTCTCAATGGACAACAAATGTTGGAGAACATGAAATTATAAAGCAAGAAAAGAATCTACAATGCTTCCATCCAAAAATAATCACTGTTAAAAATCTGCAGAGGTTTCGTGCTCATGGAATATTGGCCGGAAGTGGTCCCTAAAGTTCTCTCTGGGTCAGTGATAGAAGCTGAACCCTGCAGGCTCTCCAGAGAACTAAGCATTTCTGCCTCTACTTGCTGAAAAAGCTAAACAAGCATGTGGAGTCTTCTCCAAGGCCATTGGTCCAAATAACCAAAAGAGTCAACTCAATGTTGGAGAAGAACAAACTAGAAGATTGACACCATTGGACTTATGACTTACTAGAAAGTTATAGTAATTGAAACAGTGGCATTGGTGAGAGAATAGACACACAGATCAGTGCCATCGAATACAAAGTCCAGAAATAGACCCAACTGATCTTTGAGAAGGACCAAGATCATCATTTCAGCAAATGTTGCTGGAGCGAATGGACATCTGGACATCCACATGCAAAAAAAAAATTGCTTCTACATACAGACCTAACAGTCTTCAAAAAATAACTCATATCAAAACTATAAAATTCCTAGAAGATATCATAGAAGAAAATCTAGATGACCTTTGATATGGATTACTTTTTTTTAGATTGATTTCATATTTTGAAGCAGTTTTAGGTTCACACCAGAATGGAGCAGAGGTGCAGAGATTTCCCATACTACTGCATGTCTGCACACAGCACAGCTGCTGCCATTATCAATATCCTTCACCAGAGTGATACATTTATTACAAATTATGAACCTACATTGAAATGTCATTAACATCCAAAGTCCATGGTTCACATTGTGGTTCACTCTTAGTATTGCATAGTCTATGGGTTTGCACAAATATATAGTGATATCCACTTTTATAGTATTATAGAGTAGTTTCATTTCCCCTAAAAATCCTCTATGCTCTGTCTTTTTACCTCCTTCCACCCTAATCCCTGGCAATCACTTATATATTTATCTTCACCATAGTTTTGGCTTTTCCAGAATGTCATATAGTTGGAATCATGCAGTGTGCAGGCTTTTCCTTTCAATTAATACTAAGCATTCAAGTTTCTTCCATATCCTTTTAGGACTTGCTAGCTCATTTATTTTAGCACTGGATAATATTCCACTCTCTGGGTGTACCACAATTTCTTTATCCATTCACCTACTGAAGGTAGGTGCTATAACTGTGAGGACGAATCTGTTCCAGGCCTCTCTCCTAGCTTCTGGTAGCCTCAGACCATCCTCGGATTGTACATGGCATTCCCCCTGTGTCTTCACATCATCTTCCCTCTGTGTATGACAGTTAAGCTAAGCTGTGCCTGAATTCCTGGTCCACAGGAACTACGAAATAATATGTTTTTTAAACCAGCAAATTTGTGGTGATCTGTTATTCAGCAAGTTCCCCTGTTTATATAGCACCAACTTTGCGTCTCACCTGGATAGAGAATTGTCATACCTTCAAGGGAGCAGAGGAACCAACATCCAAGCAGAATAGTGATGGGACCTACACCTTGGAAAGCTTGCATTTGGTGAATGTGTTGGGGCAGGAGTCTGAGCGGGTCCTCACCTATAAGGTGCAGCATGAGGCACAAGCTCCCATCCAGGCCAACTTCATGCTGTCTGCAGCAGCTCCTGGCACACACAAGCCCATTGGAACCTCAGGTAAGCTCACTTCTACTGCTCTGAGCTACTGGGTCACCCTTGTCTCCTGAGCAGCGTGTGTCACAGGGTCCCATTTGCTGTCTCCTTTGGCCTATTGGTAGGTCCAGAGATGACTGTCCTTATGTTTGTGGCTTTCCCTCTGGGCTTCAAGGTGCTGGTGATGAGTTTCATAGTCACCTACATCTGCAGGTGGCAGAACCTGTAACAGGTGAGTTGGGGGCAGGCCTTAGTACATAAGGAGAGAGGTCATGGTTACCATCATAGGCTGATCAGAGGAGTCCCAGGTGAGTCCACTATTTCACACAGCACATACCAGGGGGATCCAGCCTCAAGACAAGTTTGAGAACAGTCTTGTTTTCTCTAAATGTCTGTTGGAGATCTCAGAGGCTTCCAGCTCTCATGCATCCTGCAGTGCCCTGGGGTTTGGTTTTTCATTGAAGTCCCTTGGAATCCTGGGTGGGGGTCCAAGGTGTGGAGGTGGGATGAAGGTCAAAGCTTTGAGCTCCATACTCCAAAGAGTGCCCCCATATACTGTGACATATGTCAAATTTCACAGGACTTATTTTTGGAATAAATAAGAAAAATAATGCTAAACTTTACTAATGGAGCCTACAAGGGACTGGAAGGTTTTAATTAGCGGTAAAGACGATCGTGGGTGTGGGGGAGTTCAGAGCTCAGACAGAGGGGCTGGGCTGTAGTGAGTGGGGGTCTTTTTTCTGATGTGCACCATGATTCCAGGCATGCAGAGCGCCTGCCACATAGTAGATACTCAATAAGTATTTGGGGAATACAAGAATGAATGAATGAATGACTTTTTCCCCAACTGCTCCTGCATGCTCTGCAATACATTGCCTCCCACTGTGTCCGAGAAACTCACATGGGGAGAGAAGCTGTTGCCCCCCATTCCTACGCTATACCTGCTCCCTTTCTCACACCCCCTGATGTACCTTCTCTCTGAGCTTCAGAGCTGAGTCAAGGA